TTTCCTGGCAGCCTGTGTTTACAATATTCTTTCGCTGGCCATACATATTAGAAATTCAGCTGATTGATAGGAATTGGCCAAACTTCTAACAGTGTGCGGCTTAGCCGGCTTCACAAAAAAGTAAATTGCTAAACTGACTTTGGTCCAAGGAGGCGGGACAAAAATCTCTGGCTAAACTGTGAGTGCAGCCAATCAACTGCACTGTTCATGTATTCTAACAGCTGCGGGTACTGGTTATCAGAATACAAAAGCCACAGCGTTTACTGGAGATGAAAGAATCTGTTCGATTTATTTTATTCGGTCTCCAAGCTGAACGAAAAAAAAAATGCATTTCTTTCTATATACATTCAGTCTGTTTTGTTACATGCAGTGTAGAACTTTGTACCAAGACGGGAGATTAATTCTGACCCTAGGTAAGAGTTCAGTCATAGCACGCACTTTTTGTTTTATTGCAGCTGGTTTCACAATGAAGCAACTACTGTCTACATAAAGTGTACTTTATTTGGGGAAGAATTTACATCCACAAATGGGAAAAAAAAAAATTGCTTAGTAAAAAAGGATTTTTATACTTGCCATAAAACCCTTTTCTTGGGAGTTCATTAGTGGATACAGGAAGTTTTTCACCTTCGGATTAACACTGCCACCTACAAGAGGAATGAACGCTGGCAAACAATAGCACTGTAGGGCAGGCCAGGATAACCCCTCCTACTACCCGCTTGCCTTGTGCTAAAGCAGTACCAAAAGCATGGCCATAAAGTGGTGGGACCTATGTTTCTGAATGGACTCCAAGAAAATGGTTTTAAAGTGAGTAAAAAGTCTCTCTCATCTATTGAGGGACACAAGAAGTCCTTAAAGGGACATTCAAGTCAAAAACCGTTCCCCCTCCCCAATGTTAAGGTCAGCACTTACCTTAAATGATGTCTCTTAATCCGATCTTTCCTGATGTTTTCATCTGTCCCTCCAGCGGAAACAGTTGCATAATGCCAAAAAGCTCAAGAAGTACTCACAAATTTAGTATAGTGTGCATTGACAGGAAAGGGTGGAACCCGATTCTTGAGACCATAAGCTTGGATTATGCCACCTAGAGATGACATCTACCTGAGCCACCTAGAGATGGTGGAACAAGAAACTGTTGCAGACTTATGGGGTCCATCCGGGATTACAAAAAGGGATCAGTCTTCGTGAAAGAAGCAGTGGCTAAGAGACAGAATCCGACAGCCCGAACCACATGCGAACAGTGGGGGGAAACCTCCTTTAGGTGAACAGAGGGACTAAAGAACAGTGTCCTAGTAGAGGAAAGAAAGACGTCCCGGGCCTCAACACCACCTTGTCCTTGTGCAAAACTAAAAAGGGTTCCCTGCCAGTTTTGACATTCTCCTTACAGGTGATTGCTGCTAGGAAAAACTATCTTGTGGGAGAGAGTAGGTAGAGGAATGTCTCTATTGGATTCAAATGGTGTACTGATCCCGGAGTCAAAATCAGAATCCAATTAAAGTGACATTAAAGTAAAAAAAAATGTGCCCTCCCCTCAATGTTAATGTCAGGACTTACATTAAAATGATGTCTCTTAATCCGATCTTCCTCTTCTTTCCTGATGTTTCCATCTGTCCCTCCAGCGGTGCGGCGGCTCTGCGATCCAGCGCAGACTCCTCTGTCCTTGCTGGCCCTTCCGATCCCGCGGTGTCTGCATGCGGGTGCATGCGTCCATAGACTTACCTTGCGTCTCTGCTCATTTCCCGGCCGAAAATCTGAAATGCGCATGCGCCCGCCCCAAGATGCTTTGCGGCTGCCCGAACAGTTTCGGATTCTCGGGCGGGAGCGCGCAGCGAAAAACAGGGTAAGTTTACCGATGTTAAAGCAGTAGCTATGTGCAAACAAAACGGAGGGTTTAGAACCCCTTTAAGATGACCCATCAGTAGGATGGTCCAATGCTGCCCAAGGTTGCAGGATGTTCAACGGGAGTAGAGACTCCTCTGATGACCAAGATTCCTGCATGGACAGAGTGCCAAGGACTCCTCAACAGCCAAAAAAGGCTGGTGTCCATTCTTAGGTTGCCTTAAAAGATGGGAAGGAAGGTCTTCCCTGGCTCTAGATTATTTCAGAGCCACCAAGTCAGGGACAACCTGGTCTTTGGTGATAAATGAATCTGTCCAGAGACTAGATCAACTTCGACAACAACAGAATGTTGTGCTGTAGAGGTCTGGAGTAGAGCTGCAGCTAACGATTATTTTCAAAATCGATTAGTTAGCCGATTATTAAGTTCGATTAATCGGATAAACAATAAAAAAAAAAAAAATTAAAAATGGCTCCAGTGATGGGACTACTAGTTTGTATTGAGATTGTAGTCCATCACAGGAGCAAGCTTGGAGCGGTGGAAAAAAATAGTGTGGTGTGCAATATAGTGAAAAGGAAAGTGTAAAATTATACAGCAATGAATGCAGAATTGCACCGGCTATAGAGGACTACAAATCCCAGCAATAGTACATTATACAGCGCAATGCAGAATATCACCAGCTATAGAGGACTACAACAAATCCCAGCAATAGTACATTATAGCTGGCGGTATTCTGCATTGCGCTGTATAATGTACTATTGCTGGGATTTGTAGTCCTCTATACAGTGCAGTGCAGAATATCACCAGCTATATAGGAATACAACAAATCCCAGCAATACATTATACATACAGTGTATAATGTATTGCTGGATGTGTATTCCTATGTATAATATACAGCACAATGTACCATAAGCTATAGAGGAATACAAATCCCAGCAATACATTATAGAGCACCATGTGTGGGCTTACCTGAGCAGTCTTCCAGCAACTTGCTTCTGAGATCGGACCTGTCTATCAGCGGCTGTCATCCCCCCACACCTGCTCCTCCTTACTACATCTCCCCGCGTCCCTGTGCCAATCGTGGATGTGGGCGGGCGGTGAGTGTGAGGCGGGGAGGAGGTGCGGCGTGGATGCGGGCGGGCGGGTCTGGCAGCGGCGAGCGTGAGGTGGGGAAGAGGTGCGGCGCGCAGCGTGTGTGGAGCCGTGAACAGGGCCAACTGATCGGAAGCCGATTAATCGATTATTGAAAAAGTTGACAACTTTTTCAATAATCGATTATGTTGATTAGTTGTTGCAGCCCTAGTCTGGAGTGAAACCAAGCAAACTGAACTGCCTCAAAAAAGACTAGCATCAGACCCCAGAATAGATGGCTCCCAGACTGTAGAGCTCAAATTGGATGCTCAAAATGATGAGTCAGTTCCAGCAATGATTTCTGAAGTTTCAGGAACCGTAAACTGGAATAAAGCATCAAAGCAAAGCATAGGAATTGCTGATGCACTTGAAACATGGCGGCATGTAGGTAAGTATCTCTGTGGTAAAGGGAGACAATGACAGATTTGGTAGATTACATATGCATTTTTTTACTTGAATGAAGACACAGGAGTTTTGGAGATCCAGAATGGGTTGATAGCCCCCTTTGGGCTTAGGAACAGTGAACCGTTCTGCCACAAGAACTGGGGCAATGACACCTTTATTCAGAAAACCCAACAGGGCTCAATGAAGATCTACTAATCTTATAAGGGAAGGTTGTCCAAGTCTCTGCAAAGGTTAGCAAATGTCCCCCCACTCTGGACTGTTAGGGGAACACCTTCATGCAGAGGAAAGCTTTTCAAGGTTCGGCAGACTTTCAGCACCAAGATTTGCAGGTGGATGAGGAGCCAAGGTTAGTGGAACTCGCCGCAGAGGTCAAGGGAGCGGAGAAACAAAAAGCACATTTATTAACCATCAAAGAGGGAGAAAACTTTGCAGTCTGTTTCTTAGGTTTCTTTCTCTCTTGACTCCAGGAGCATCCTTAATAATTTCCTCAACAATGTATATGTAATATTGTCACATGGAGTGCTCCATCAGAAAGTATTCACGCACTTCTATTATTCATATGGTAGATGGTTCACATTCTTTTCTTGTATGTGCTGCTAATTATGTCACAGGGTCGTTACTATGGACTACAGGATATTTGTGGTAAGTCTCCTTGAAAGGGGGGACACTGCAAGGCCCTGAACAATCAGTATGCTTTTGCCCAGCACCTTCATGTCAAAGTGAATGGTCGGACAAGTCCTGGATGGCCAACAAAGAGCCAGCGACAACTCCTACAGGTTCAGGACCCAGCCGAAATTCTGCACCGTTTGTATTGTCTGATGACAACAAGGAGGTTGTCTTAGTACCCCACTATGGAGATGTCCTGAAACAGGAGCAGAGCCAACAAAGGAGCCAGTAGTTCTGCCTGATGAAGGGGATCCTGTGGGACCCCGAAACGTTGCAATAAGTGTATTGTTGCACGACACATCAATAAAAGACGTTTTTCTACTTTGGAGTGCCGGTGTCCATAATTTCCTATACAGTAGTTAACTGAAGACGCAAAGGTTTTTGGATCTGAAGGGACCCACTTGTTAATGCTGAGGATCTTGAACTGAAGAATCATCTGCTGAAATAAATGTATGCACTTCTCTCAGAGCAGAGAGAAGGCGTTCATCACCAAAAGACACTAGCAAACAACAAAAGGCAGGCTGGGAGTGAAAGGGATTATACAGGGCTATCTTAATAGCTTTCATTTGCCAGTGTTCAATCACCTGAAGGTAGTTGCATAACCTATATAGTCAAGATTTAACTCCCTGTGTCCCGTCATGTATAATTAAGAAAAAAAAGAGAGATTAGTCTTTGACACAACAGGATTTAAGAAGATATGTCCACTCTCCTAAGGCACCAGCAGAAAAGAGCAGTAGGAGGAGTTATGCTTGTAGTAGGAGGAGTTATCCTGGGCTGGCCTACAGTTTTTTGTATGTCAGTGTATAATCTTCCTATAGGAGGCAGTATAACCCAAAGATTAAAGACTTCCTGTTCCCTAAACGGTTTAAAAAGTCTGTCGACACATGACCTAACTGTATCGGAAGATAATTTTAGTAGAGCCATTGTATAATTGAAACCGAGATAAAAATGATACATGTCTTACCTCTCCCTCAATCAGTGACCTGATACTTCGTGCATAGGTCTCTACACGGTCATCTCTCAGCTCAATGGAGTTGGGCTGGTTTACACGCAAACCAATAGGACCTGCAATCTTCTCAAACATACTTGTGAGTTCCCGAGCTTGAGATACGGCACGTTTAGGGTATATCACTACCCAGTACTGCAGATTAACCTGAAAGAGAAACACAGAACATTTCTCATGATTTATTGTAAGGATCCTAAGCAGGTACAGTACAATATACAGATAAAGGGTTACTTGAGTGTTAGGGCCTGTTCACACGACGTCCGTTTTGTGTGCTGACCTGATCCGTACGCTCCTACACTAAAAATGCTTCCCAATGTATCCCTATGTGTTTTATGGGCTACAGTTCTCACGTGCGCAGTCCGTTCAGGTTACGACAGAAAAATACTGCATGTCACATTTTGTACATCAGGAAACACAAAACTCGTCAAAAACGCACTGCAGATAACATACCGACAGCCCCACTCCAGAATTTTTTTCTTTACTGGAACGCAGCAAAACACATAGCACCGCGTCTGCTGATCCGCACCTGATCAGGACCTGAAACTCATGTGAACAGGCCCTTAGGGCTTATAGGTTTCCTTAGTTTAGTGTTAGGGTCAGGGATGAGGAGTTTTAGTTTAAGATTTAAATAAAAAATTGCTCAGCTTTGGCCAAGCAGAGCAGACCAGGTTTATCTGAATTGTTTGTACCAGCAGCAAACATCTTTCCTTGGTTCACCCAATGTTTGGCTCAGCCACCAGGGATGAATAAAAATACCCAGTACTACTGGGTATAGGGGAGCACGGAACTCACTCCTTTACCTCCAAAGTGACAGAACTGGTGCTTGGGTGGTTAGAGCCCCCGTGCTGTAACACTGGAGTGTTTAAAAAATCCTCATCCCTCTGTAAACTTCAAGCTACCACATGGAGCTTACACAGTTTCCTCTGCTTGTCCTAATGGCTGAAGGGAACATCAGGGAAGTGAGAGGAAGAGGATTAGATGAAGCTGGTGGACAGTATTTAAATTTAAAAGAAAAAGGCATTTATTTTGCCTTTATAAGCCAACACTGCCAGTTTTAGAAAAAAACCTTCTGTGTGTTTTTTCTCTCTCAGACAAGCTGGCCAAACATTACAATCCAATTTGTAGAATAGCTGTACAATGTCCTTCAAATTTTCTAACAATTATGTAGTGCAAGAGTAAGCGACCGTGGCACTCTAGCTGTCGTGAAACTACAAAGCCCATCATGTAGCTGCATCTGGGAGTCATGCCTGTGGCTGTCAACAGTTTTGCAATGCCTCATGTGACTTATAGTTCCAAAATAGCTGGAGAGTCGTGGTTGCCTGTCCCCGATGTATTGTGGGAGCTTCACTAAAATTCAATTCAATTCATACTAGATCGGCTCTCATACTATACTAGTTGTTGCAAATCTAAAGATGATTATACAATATGGTTTTAATGTATGTAGCTAGTACAGGCAGTCCCAGAGTTACATACATCCGACTTACATCCGATTACTATTTACAAATGTAGGCTCGGAGGCTATTACTGTACAACAGGGGTAGTTGTAATGCTACCACGCTCGTGCCGAGGAGGAGTGCCCCCTTTTTTGGGTCTGGTTCGTAGTACTGTGCATATATTACAGGACGTTGGCTCTTGTTAGACATGCAGATGAGGGGTGCCCACCTCTTCTTCCCGGTCACTGAGGTTTTTATTGCTGTCTGTATCCTCATTAGAAAGATTTAATCCCACTTCCTGCGCTTGAGACAACAGGAAGTGAAAGGAAATCAATCCCTAGGAAGGGGAATTCACTCCTGTAAGAGTGATCATGGGAAAAAGGTGTCACCACTGAAGCTTTAAATCACCAATCCTTGTTTCCACAACAACCAAACATTTTCAAAATCCAATTGTCACAGGGACAGAAAGTGAGGCAAAATCTTCTGGCACTTGACCAACCCCTGGAAGCGATCTGGAGGCACCTGATTCACCAGGATTGCTCCCATTGTAAAGCAGACAGCTGACTTTACAATTGTACACAGTCTGTTTAAATCGGCCCACAGCCACTTACGTAAGCCTGTGGCAGCAAAAGGGTTAAAAGGTAATCGTGTTCTTTATTAGCCTAGCGGTTTCCCTGTTAAAGTTGTTCACTGCTGGATCCACAGTGGGTATAGACCACTGTTTGCCAAATTCCCTCTCACAAGGAACAGTTCCAACACACTCTCAGGAGGGGCCAGGACTTTTCAAGAATATTTCCAGCCCAAATAAAGGAATACATCAAAAAGAGTGAATTACTTTGCAGCTGCTAGCGCTCTGAAAGACTTAAAGCTAGAGACAACAGGCTGATGCCCCAATTGCAGGATAGTACAAACTCTGAATCTGAGTTAGAGATGGTCACAGTTTAAGGATGGTGTTTATTTCATTTTTTGTATCCAATTAATCGGCCAAATAATCGATCATGAAAATAACAATTAGTTGCAGTTCTATTATCAATAACAACCACTGTATAAATGCATCAAACTCAGATGCTTCATACATACAGTATTTTCTAAGCCTAGTACTGATTCTGCAAGTCAGGTTTTATCAGTTGGTGAGCCAGAAATATAAAACTTTCAGTTGCACAATTCATACAAAGAACACCGCTAATCATAGTCACTCTATAAGAGTAAAATATAGCAGGTTTTAGAACACAAAGGTACTTAACTGCTAAAAGGTTGCCTGCAGCCAAAACAGAGGAAGTTACCAGTAGGATAGTGGGTGGGTGGGTAGAATTATTATTATACAGTTTGCACAGCGCTTTACAACATAGGGAAGACATTATCATTTCAATACCATTTAAGACAAGATGGTAAGGAGGGCCCTGCCCCTGAGGGCTTACAATCTAATAGGGAGGGAGAAGTGATACATGAGGAGGTAGCTGTGTGGGGATGAATTGTTTGACAACGTGATGGTTCAGTGGTTAGTTTGAGGTGGGATAGGCTTCCCTGAAGAGATGAGTCTTAAGGTATCGCCTAAAGGCAGTCAGAGTGGGAGATGGACGGACAGGTTGGGGGTAAGGAGAGGATCAGAAGGATTACTGATAGTAATTAAATTCAGACCCATCTAGACAGGCATAGGTCATTTGCTGAATAGTTGCATCTTCAATATACAGTGCTAGTTTGCCAAAAAAAATAACATTAAAATCTTTATTACACGTCAGTATAAAATTCAGAGAGTAATGAAGTACTCACAGTTGCAATAGAAGGCTCACGAGTCACCTCTCTGCTCCAGTTGAGGTCATCTCCAGTTGGGAACGAGTTTCTTTTCAGGTTAATTTTCTCCCTGGGCAAAATCCTGCCAGTTGTCTGCAGGAAGGCGACAAACAGGTCATCCAAATGCAGACATTTTCTAACATTTCCGTTCATACACTAGAGTTTGAAAATCAATGCAGATAGTAGACAATGTTTGTTTTGGGAGTTTCTTAATAGCGCAGTCCTATATTCAACAGAACACTTAAATGGCAAAATGCTGTATTTAAAAAAGAGTCAGTGCAAGCCAACATTCAAAAAACACAAACATGCTGTAATAAGGGTATTACATAAGGGTAATTAGGGCATTTACCACAAATTGTGATATAAAAATATGGAAGTGAGATGATATAAAAGATATTCTCTTCATTTAGTGGTACTGCAAATATTTTATTGATCCAGTGCTCAATAGTTCCAACAAACATTTTCAAATTAGAATGTCATTGTTAGGTCCGAGGTGTGGGCCCGAGATGATGAGGAGGACCTCCCTTGCAACCCTGTCTGATGAGCACTGGGGTTGAAGACAGTGTGTGTCAGGCAAGGGGTGCACGGGTGCCGGATCCGGATGCCAGGTATAGGCAGCAGGTGATGTGCTTGGCAGAGTGGGCAGCCGTGCAGGGTATCGAGGATAAATGGAGAGGTCTAGCCGGGCCGGGTCGGTAACATGCAGACAACGAAGGACAATGCAGAATCCAAAAGGAGAGTCAAGAGGCAAGCCGGATCGGTAATATGCAGGCAACAAGGTACAATGCAGAATCCAAAGGAGAGTCAAGAGGCAAGCCGGATCGGTAATATGCAGGCAACAAGGCACAATGCAGAATCCAAAAGGAGAGTCAAGAGGCAAGCCGGGTCGGTAATATGCATGCAGCAAGGTACAGAAGGGTTATCCAGAGGGAGCGTCAGGGAGGAAGCCAGATCACAGGTTTAAACAGGAGCAAGATCACTAGACGACTGGTGCTGGCTGATAATCACTCAGCAATGATTCTCAGTCCTGTGGGGCTTTAAATAGGCTGAGGGCGTACACTGCGCGCGCGCTGACGTGATGACGTCACTCGCGCACGCCAGTGCAGTGACGTCATCACGTGTGGGGCGGATCGGACCGGAACCTGACGCGCTCGGACCGGGACCCGACAGTCATAGGGCAGAGCAGACCTTAAAGTGGCATTAAATCCTCAGATTTGTTAACATAAAACAATATTGTAATGTGTGCCTTACTGTAATCCATGGTTGTTTCCCTTCTCTTTGCTGCTCTTCCTTAAAAGGAAGAGCGGCAAAGAGAAGGGAAACAACCATGGATTACAGTAAGGCACACATTACAGTATTGTTTTATGTTAAAAAAATATGAGGGTTTAATGCCACTTTAATTGAAACCTAGCTGACAATGAGTTGCTGACCATCCCTGCAGGATTGTGGCCATAGATAAGGGAAAATGAACCATCACCTTACAAACCCTCAAAAGAATCTTAAAGAGCGAGTGGTCAGCAGGGAAGTGGGGTTATGTAGACACTGAAACTTCAAATTGTCTGCAATAGTTTGCCATTTTCCTGAGGGATTATGTTTCATCTCTAACCACATCCATTTGGAGGGAGATTAAACTTATTCTCTCAGTGCACGTGAAACTACATGCCAATGCAAAATGGTATTTTCAGGCATCATAGAACACCCTAAGGACCGGCGAGATGGTTTTATGGGGCCTGCGTGTGGTGGTCACATGGTGTATGGATTCACTCTGATTGGGATGATACACTGGTGTTATAAATCCTAACCATGACACAATCACGAGAACTGAGTTCTTCAGGAGACCAGAACCTTCCTCACGTTATTATTATGCAGGATTTATATAGCGCCAACAGTTTGCGCAGCGCTTTACAATATAAGGAAGACATTACAATCACAATACAAGACGGTAAGGAGGGCCCTGCCCCTGAGGGCTTACAATCTAAAAGGGAGGGGACAGTGATACATGAGGAGGTGGCTGTGTGGGGATGAATTGTTTGAGAACGTGATGGTTCAGTGGTGAGGTTGACATGGGACATCAGGTGAGGTAACACCTCCAAAGTTAACTGTTTAAAGGGTCAGAGAGTCAGTCCCACAACCAAACCTCTATAAACCGCGTAGACTGAAAAATGAACATGGTAATCCTTATAGAGTCAGTTGTGAACAAGGCGGACTGCTGGAACTTCGGTGTGCTTCTTCAGTAGGATAAACCATACTGTTCAAAATGGTGACATTTACTTCTGTTTTTTCCCCCTTTTTATTTAATAGTAATTAGCCAAATTTATGCATGTCCCTTTTCCTCTCGTATTTTTTTACCAACATATTTCTATGCACTTCCCAACTACAGAAATTACAGTCAAAAATGAATTACCCAGTCATCTCTGAATCTGCCTGTGTTGTGTACTATAAGATCAAAAGTGGCTTCTGTCTACAAAACTAAGAATTCATACTCCTAGAGAGATTGTTGCAATGCGCTTGAGTTATATGCTAGTGTCCTGGGATGGACACCTTTTCTTCAGCTCAACTGTGTTTCTTTTTTACTAGCACCTTTATACAGTGCCAACAGTTTGCACACCACTTTACAAAATAAAGGGATACCATTGAGGTCCATTTAATCCAGAAAGAGTAGGAGATGACGGACTGACTCTGGGAAAAGTGCTAGAAATCGAGCATGGGAGGAGGTGGTGAGAGCTAGAAGGCAGGAGGTCTTGGAAGGAGGGAGAAGCAAGAGAACAACTTTTTTGGATTAACCGGATAAAGAAAAAAATACCGTAATTTATTTAAAATAAAATACACAAATGCGGCGTTACAAAGTTTACTTCAGAATAAAACAGTATGCACATTTTTTTAAATTGCACCGCACTGAAACACAGGGCATTGCAGTACCGCACGTTCCTGTGCGGCCGATCAAACTGCAGACGGGAGGTAAATTAGGGATGACATTAAAATTAATGGCACCACAACACACATCCTGCAGCAAAATTTGTCAGGCCAAAACGTAAAATGATATATTATTGCTTGTGTCTTGTGTTACTGCTGGTATGTGCGCGTTCGCGGGGTTGGGAGACTTAAAGTTTTTTGGGGGGTATTTTAAATATTATATTTAACTTTTTTTTTTTTAACTTAACTTCTTTGCTATCACATGGTGGGGCTCACAAGCCCCCTATGTAATAGCACATTGGGAGGTAACAGGTTCTCTTTAAGGTGAAATTAAAGCCAAAAAAAAATTCCCCTACCCCCATGTAAATTTTAGCACTTACCTTAAATGATGTCTCTTATTCTGATCTTCCTCTTCTTTGCCCATGTTTTCATGTGTCCCTCCAGCGGTGCGGCGGCTCTCCGATCCAGCAGTGTCTGCAGGAGGGTGCACGCATCCATAGACTTACCTTGCGTCTCTGCTCGTCTCCTGGCCGAGAATCGGAAATGCGCATGCGCCCGCCCCAAGATCCTTTTCGGCCGTACAATCACTTCCTGATTCTCGGCGCGGGAGCAAGCAGCGATAACGAGGTACGTTTAAAACTAGTTCAAGCCGTTTTTTTTTTTTAAACTTCTTGCCTATATCTACTACTTGCTAGCAGTAGATATAGGCAAAAAAAAACCGGAGGGTTTAGAACCCCTTTAAGGGTTCAATTAGAGCCCTATTGTCACCTTTCCACTTCAATAGCTTTAGCTAGGGAAATTACAGCAGCCATCTGAGGCAGCTGAATGTAATCATAGCATACAGTGGCAGGGAGCAATAGCCAGCCTGTTATTGGATTTTTTAAACTGCAATTAGCCAATAGCAGGCTGGTTATTGCACCCGCCCACTGCCTGCTGTCAGAGGAGGAGGGAACTGAAGGAGAAAGTTCTCCTTCAAGCCCTCCCCAGCTGACTGACAAGCAGGAAGTGGGCGGATGCAATAGCTATTGCAATTTATTATAGCCAATAGCAGGCTGAGTATTGCTCCCATCCGCTAGATGGAAACTTGACGCAGAAGAGGGGGCATGGGGGAGCAGCGGCGAAAACTGAGGCATGGGGGCAGCAGAGAAGGAAACGGGGCAGCAGACTAAGAAAGGGGGAGCAGACGAGGAACAGGACGGGCCAGCGGTGGAATGGGACGGGCAGGCTGCAGTGGTCTGTGTCCCCGCTGCTTCTGCCGATACAGGCAGGGAGAGCAGCAGGGATTTAAAAAAGACACAGACTGCTGCAGCTGGCACCAGCTGGGAGGAGAACGGAGGAGCAGAGGCAGATTCAACTAATCAAAAATCAACTAATCCATGAAAATCGTGACAGATTCTCATTATTGATTATATTGATTAGTTGTTTCAGCCCTATATGATAGACTGAAGGGGGAAAGCCTGTGCAGATGTGGGGCAACAAGGAGGAAGTTGTAGTATTCAAGGTGAGAGAAAACAAGGGAGTGAATAAGGAGCTCGGTAGGGTCACTGGTTAAACAAAACAAAAAAAGGCATACTTTGAAGACATTACAAAGGTGAAGGCACCAAGATTTGGTTAGAGATTGGATGTGGGACTGGAAAGAGGGGTCATAGTTCAGGATTACACCCTGACACAAGAGAAGGGATTGATAGCTATACTACAGATCTTGATGGGAAAGTTGGGAGGGAACAGAATGTGGGGGGAGTGATGCATGAGGAGAATAAAGGTGTGAGCTAAGGAGTAGAGAGATCGATTTGGGTGTCCATCCACATAGAGATGGTATTAAAAAGCCATGGGTGGCTAGCAAGGGGAGGAGGTGTAGAGAAAAGAAATGGCCCAAAGAGAGAACTTTGGGGGAACCCTATTGAAAGAAAGAAGAGTAAAAGGAGTTGTGGTTGACACTGAAGGAATGCTTAGAACCAGGTAGGAACCAAGAAAAAGCAGTTTTGGAGGTCAAGGGATTCATGTTTTTTTGAGCAGGAGGTTAACTAGAACAAAAACAACAGAAACATCTAATAGTACGAGTACAGAGTAGTGGCATTCAGCTTGCTAGTTAGTTGCTTGCTTTTCCAACTTTCCAGCACACTGTTTTTTGTGGTTTGCTGTCCGACCCCTACACTAGCAGTTTGTGGTCCTGCCATTTGGCCAATGTTCTGCACCTCAGGTGTTCACTACAGTATTTGCTCCAATAGGCCCTGTTGCATTTTCAGGGTATCCCCATTTTTGGATACGTGGACTATAACTAATAGAAAGTACTGGGCCTTGTACTTCAATCTAAATACCCCTTTGGCACCCAGGTCAAAAGGAGAAACCATAGAATTGGGCTTTTAAAGGGGAACTATGAGGTGAGTGATTTTCACTCAACCTCATACTTTGAGCTGATGTGAGACAATGAAACTGTCACAGGTCGGCTCAGTAGATCGGTAAGTAAGTGAACACATACTGTCACTCGCTCACTTCTCGATCATCTCCCTGCAGAGAGCAGTGACTGTCACTCACGGCTCCCTGCAGGGATTCCCCACTCCGATCCTCCAGCGCTGACTGGGGGAGGGGGCGGGTACAGCTGGCTCTGCCTCTAGATAGGCACAGTCAGCTGTCACTCACGCAGCTGGGTGGATCGACAGTAATGTCGGGATCCATCCCGGATGCAGCGGTCTCAGTATACCGCGAGCCGTAGCTTGCAATATACTAAGCTTTGGGTCACGGGAGGATGCTAGTTTATGTCTTCCCGTGACCCTTAGGAGAACTATGGGGAAAAAAACCTTACCCCATAGTTCTCCTTTAAGGCATAAAAAACACCATTGCATAAAAGTTAACGAATTTTAATCAAAAGTAGATTCCCCAAAACCAATGTAATAATCACCTGGAGTGCAGCGTGGACCTGTTTCTCCTTTAAACGCAATCAGCTGGCCCTCTCCCCCTACCTATATATACCCCTCTTTATTATATGGGCATAACACCTACCACGTGTAGCAAACCCATCCTGGATGACATGGTCAGCGCATGGTATTGTAGGTGTGCACGCATGCATATGGAAGATCCTATATCACATTGGTTCACCGTAAGCTGCTTGTTAGATTGAATAAATTATGGATACTACAGGTAGTATCTCTGGTTAATATTTTATTTAATAGTTATGATTTATTTATGATGTTACAGCTCACTGGAATCTCCTCCTGAAGAATCCATATTGGCAAAATGCATAGAGGAAGTCCTCGAAGTGTTTTGCAATCGTGATAACACCAATGATATGTTGAATTATTATGGACAATGCACTCGATCATTGATCATTAATAGATTACCTTATGGGTGATGTATTGAACGGAACATGTTGTCCTGATCTAATTTTATCATATTTTGAGCAAATATATGATTCTATACAACTTTTAATTCAATTGTAAAAATTATATATTTTATGCAATGGTGATTTCTATGCCTTAAAAGCCCCATTCTATGGTTTCTCTTTTGGCCTTGCTGCCAAAGGTGTATTTAGTTTGATTTTTGCACGGGGTGTAGCATAAAATGCTGGCCCTATCTGAACACACAGTTACTATTGTACTTATGAAAGACCAGAAATTTTTCTTTTAAGATAGGGTGCCAGTTCAGACACTTGACTTGCAAAGATGATGAAACACCACCTTAGGAAAGAAAGTAAGAAACCAACAGAAATTTGAGAGTAAGTGGTGGTGGGCAAGCTCCAACACTTCCTCTCAGGCTTTACAGAGGGATTGCTGCAGATGGGCTTTATAAACTAGGCAAGTACCCGATTTGGTCTTCCTATCAACCTCCAGTGCTGACAGGGGACACACTTGTCAGCAGTTGAGAGCAGTCATGTTTTTACCAATGTTATTGACCTAGCTGTGCCGCTGCAGATCACAAAACTAGCTGCATAGAATTCAAAAATGATTTGGCAGATGAAGTCGTTTGCACACACGTATTTAAACTGTGTATTTAGCCATCAAATTTGCCAATAAAAAAACATATTTAACAGCGTATGATTCACCTCAGGCATGTTTATACACGATTCAATATAGAAAAAATGGCATATACATGAAGAAATATCTACCATATGTATGTCCAAGTCTATTTGGAGGCCCCATCTCTGTAACTCAGTTTGTGCTTCCTCGCTGCTTTGAATTCTTTTTACCAGTTTTCCAAGGGAGATGTAGTGCTCTCGGGGGCTCAGATGGATCTGCTGGGTAACATCCTGAAGAGAGAGATAGAGAGTAAAAATAAGATTTTTGTACCCAGCATCTTGGATTCCATTAGGGATACAGAAAGTCTTTCACCTTATACTGTAGCCTACAGCAGGACTGGACACTGGAAAACAAAGAAAAAGCTGTAGTCCAGCCAAGAAGAACTCTTACTTCCAGCTTGACCTCAGCAAACAGTACCAAGAGCATGGTCAGACACAGAGGGGTGGAACCTGTGTCCCCCAATAGACTGCAAGAAAATTATATTACAGTAAGCACAATAAATCCTATTTTATTTCTCAGCCACCAAGAGGCACTATGGAGTAATTCACCTTTGTGATGTCCAAACACAGTCCAACTGAGTGGTGGGGAACACAGAAAACAAGTGCTAATGGCCCAAGAAAAAATTAGGATTTTGTTCTTGGCATGAAATCCTTTTCTCGGAGTCCAATAAGGGACACAGCTCTTAAGAAATCTGAGACGTAGGGTTATGCTGCTGCCTCTAGGAGAAATGGACACTAGGGCAAACAAAAAGTATGTCACATTAAGGACCTCTCCCGCCTGCCAGTTATAGCAACCAGTACAAAGGAGCTTGAGGGAAGGGAGCTGTGTCACTCAATCGACTCTGAAGAAGAGGATTTTACGGTAAAGAACAAAATCCTATCTTCCCTATTGTACATTGAGGGACACAGCTCTGAAGAATTCTGAGATATAGGCACATTCAGAAGCATTCCAAACAGAGGGGCGGGCTCCACCAAAACTAAAGCACTAGCTTAAAAAAAAAATGAATGATCAAAGTACATTTAAAAAGCTGCCTGAAAAGCTTTTCTGCCAAAACTAGCAACAGAAGAGGCAGACACATCAATTTCATAAAACTCTCCAAAATTGTGAACAGAAGACCAGGTTGCGGCCTTGTAATTTTAAGGTAACAGAAGCTTGATTCTGAAACACCCAAGAAGTACAAACTGCCCTAGTAGAATGATCAGGAACAGGAAAAGTGGTACCCTGTCCCGCAAGTCATAAGCTGACGAATTCACTTAGAAATAGAGGATCAAGAAGCAGAATGACCTTTTCTAGGACCGTCTAAAGAGTCCAAAAGAAAGCTGTGGCTGAGAGATAAACACCAAGCCACGTCCAAAAAGCTAAAGAGAAATTTCTTTAAGATAAACAGGAACTGGACAAAGTGAAGGTAAAACAATGTCTTCATTTAAATGAAAAGCCAAGACTACCTTGGTTAAAAAGGAAACGCGTGGTCTCAAAACAACCTTCTCCCTATATAGAACCAAATAGCGTTCTTTACAAGACATGCAGACAACCGAGGTAATGGTCAGAAGAAAAGCAACTAAAATAATAAAGCAGAAAAGGAGACATGAATTCTCCTGAGGACACTAAACAAATGTGCAAGTGTGAGCTGGGAGGGATTATGTTTTTAAAGTGGCAGGCTTTTCAATTGCTTGCCTAGTGTCCATTTCTACTAGAGGTAGCAGCATAACCCCCACCCCCCCCGTCTCTCACCACTCATACGGGGGGTGCT